CAGCCAGCATGCTGGGGTGGGGAATTCTGGGAGTTGAAGTCCACTCATCTTAAAGTGGCCAAGTTTGGACAACACTGCCCTATACCCTTCCCTTGCTCTCCTCCTCGCCCATCCAGCAAGCAACCCAAAGCTGGCCTTACTGTAAGGCAGAGTAAAATGGAAGAAGAGCCACCCTTCAAATCCTCCTCCTAAAGCAACAGACCATCATATCACGTGGATAGGCTTGTGTTTCTGTACAGGCTTTATGAAAAGTCAGGAGTCAGCAACCACAATGGATTTTTTAACACAGTGCAATTGTAAATTGATATGCCTATAACCTGTCTCACAGTAACCTGTATCTGCGCCACCAGCCTGTCTTCCCCTCCCATTCCTCCCCACTTCGTCCCAATTTAAATCCTATATTGACCCAACCATGCCAAGCATCTGTAGCTCACCGAAGCAGATGCCTTTAAATAAAATTGGTTAGTCTGCAAAGGTGCTGCCAGAGTCCTTCTGATTTTTGGCTAGCAGACTAACATGGCTCTTCTACGAGGTCTACAGCAAATTTGCCTTCTAAGTCTCGTGACTGAATCATGGTATAAATACCATAAATGTATAAATAAGGCTGAATATACAGTGCATTCGGAAAGTATTCAGACCCCTTCACTTTTTTCAGTTTGGTTATGTTGCAACCTGATACTACAGTCGTTCATGTTCATTTTTTTCCTCATTAATCTACACTCAGTACCCCTTAATGACAAAGTGAAAACAGAATTTTAGAAATGCCTGTAAATTTATTAAAAAGGAAAAAGTGCATTCGGAAAGTATTCAGACCCCTTCACTTTTTTCAGTTTGGTTATGTTGCAACCTGATACTACAGTCGTTCATGTTCATTTTTTTCCTCATTAATCTACACTCAGTACCCCTTAATGACAAAGTGAAAACAGAATTTTAGAAATGCCTGTAAATTTATTAAAAAGGAAAAACTGAAATATTACATTGGCGTTAAGTATTCAGACCCTTTGCAACATCACCTGAAATTTAGCTCAGGTGCCTCCTATTTCTCTTGATCGTTGCTGAGCTGTTTCTACACCTTGATTGGAGTCCACCTGTGCTAATTAAATTGATTGGACATGATTTGGAAAGGTGCACACCTCTCTATAGAAGGCCTCACAGCTGACAATGCATCCTGTATCAGAGCGAAAGCCATGAGGTCCAAGGAACTGCCTGCAGAGCTCAGAGACAGGATTATTGCATGGCACAGATCTGGGGAAGGCTACAAAAAAGTCTCTGCTGCATTGAAGGTTCCCAAGAGCACAGTGGCCCCCATAATTCTCAAACGAAAGAAGTTTGGCACAACCAGGACTCTTCCAAGAGCTGGTCGCCCGGCCAAACTGAGCAATTGGGGGAGAGGAGCCTTAGTAAGAGAGGTGACCAAGAACCTGAGGGTCACTCTGATTGAGCTCCAGAGATCCCATGGGGAGATGGGACAAAGTTCCAGAAGGACAACCATCACGGCAGCCCTCCACCGATCTGGGCTTTGTGGCAGAGTGGCTAGACGGAAGCCTCTCCTCAGTGCAAAACACATGAAAGTCTGCTTGGAGTTTGCAAAAAAGCACCTGAAGGACTCTCAGACTGTGAGGAACAAGATTCTCTGGTCTGATGAAACCAAGTTTGAACTGTTTGGCCTAAATTCTAAATGTTATGTCTGGAGGAAACCAGGCACCGCTCATCACCTGCCCAATACCATCCCAAGAGTGAAGCAGGGTGGCGACAGCCTCATGCTGTGGGGGTGCTTTTCAGCAGTGGGGACTGGGAGACTGGTCAGGGTTGAGGGAAAGCTGGAGAGAGCAAAGTACAGAGATATCCTCAATGAAAACCTGTTCCACAGCACTCAGGATTTCAGACTGGGCCGAAGGTTCACCTTCCAACATGACAATGATCCTAAGCACACAGCCAAGACAACACAGGAATGGCTTAGGGACAACTCTGTAAATGTCCTAGAGTAGCCCAGCTAGAGCCACTACTTGAACCCTATTGAGCATCTCTGGAGAGACCTGGAAATGGCTGTCCACCAATGGTCCCCATCCAACCTGACTGAGCTTGAGAGGATTTGCAAAGAATGGCAGAAAATCCTCCAATCCAGGTGTGCAAAGCTTGTCATGTCATACTGAAAAAGACTTGAGGCTGTAATTGCTGCCAAAGGTGCTTCAACAAAGTACTGAGTAAAGGGTCTGAATACTTATGCCAATGTGGTATTTCAGTTTTTCCTTTTTAATAAATTTACAGGCATTTCTAAAATTCTGAATACTTATGCCAATGTGGTATTTCAGTTTTTCCTTTTTAATAAATTTACAGGCATTTCTAAAATTCTGAATACTTATGCCAATGTGGTATTTCAGTTTTTCCTTTTTAATAAATTTACAGACATTTCTAAAATTCTGTTTTCACTTTGTCATTATGGGGTACTGAATGTAGATTAATGAGAAAAAAAATGAATTTGAACAATTGTAGTATTAGGCTGCAACATAACAAAACTGAAAAAAGTGACGGGGGTCTGAATACTTTCCGAATGCACTATACCTACCTTTTATTTTCTATATTGGGTGGGGAAAATTCCATGCCTGCATTGCTGATGTCATCTTCAGCTTGGTCTTTGGTGTGCATGTTTGGACAGATTCTTACCCAGATATCCAGCTTCAGGATCCAGAATCTCCCAGGGAAAGATAACATAAAGGTGGGAAGAACGCCTAAAACCTAACTCTTGATTTCACCCACTCTGGGGCACATGTATGTCCCTCCGCCCCACTGTACCTTTTGGATTTCTGCACAAAGTCCCTGTTGGCTGAACAATCTGAATTTAGCTAAATTCATACAACATGCTAAGCCCAAACTAACTGAATTATACTTTAGCCCCAAGGTTCACTATCTGAGGCTCCAGATTGCATTCTCTCAAGGCTGGAAACCAGGACCTTTGAAAGTTACCATCTTAGTTTTTAATGTAATAAAAGAGGAAAATGATTAAATATGTGCCTGCACTGTAATCAATCTAACCTGTATTTAATTTTAATTAAACTGAACTGGAACCAAAATGAAATTATATTTAATATTTGATCTGCCTCGCTTCATACTTTTCGGAATGTGCTTTGGTCATAACACTTAAAGATCAGATGTAGCCCTCAGCCCTGGAAAAGGTATATACTGAGGGCTAAGGGTGATGTGCCAAGGCTTCTCACACACCGCTGGTGCAAACTGATGCTGAGAAATGTGACAGAGACAGCTTGGATGAAAAGTAATGATTTACTGGCAAAAGTATCTGATGACAGCTTTCCATCAAAGCAGGAGGAAAACACATTAATAGTTTAAAAAAAATGAAAATATGCAAACCAGAGCTAGAATGACCTGTATTCTAAAACCTGCATAAAAGAAGGCACTGTGCTTAACCATCTGGCATTCTGCAAAGCTGCTAGATGCCTAGCACAATGAGAAACGAACAAATGGCAGAACATCATTCCCAAATGCCCTAGAAACAACCAAAAATGTTTGACCTCCAACCAAAACACAAAAAGAAAAACACCTGCTTTAATGGGGTCTTCGCCAGTGCCTGTATTTCTGTTCTGCTCGCCATCACCAGCAATGTCGTCAGGCTTAGAGAGATCCCCCCATCCCACTCCCCTCATTGAAATCAACACTGTCATTGTGTTCCTTGCCTTGTCAAAGTGAAGAGCGAATGAGCTGGAAACCAGCCATTGCGGGAGCACCCGTGCACGAAAGCCTTGCCTAAAAGCTGCCGAGAAATTCAGGTTCCCTAAATAAACTGACGAGGGCTCGGCTGCCTCAGTGGCAGCCTTGGGAAACATTTGTCTCCAATTCCCATAATAAGGAGCTGAACCCTGATCATCTTGAGAGAGGTAAACAATTCTACAGAGTAACAAGGATGCCTTCCCAGCTACATTTTTTAAAGTGCCACTGTAAGAAACATTTCAAGCAGCTATCCAATTTATTCACTCCTTGTTAGTAGCTTCTGCATCTTCGTCACAAAGGTTGCTTGAGACAAAACTGCTTCCATTGGCAATCTCTTTCTTTGACAGGCCCCTGAGAGAGAGAAAAAGAGAGAGCACGATTTCTGCCTTCCTGGCGCACAATCTTCCCCATCTCATTAGCTAGCAGGGCCGTTATTCCAAATTTCCAGAATATTTATTACTACGTTATCTTGTTTCAAGAGGTTTTTCAAAGGAGAACCAAAGGCACTTACTTCAGCCCTGAATTAAAAAAAAACAAAAAGGTGATAAGCTTTCTCTATATTAGTTTTAAAATTTGCATTGCCTGCATTTTGCTATTTAGTCTGATTAATCGTTGGTTCCAGCAGAAAGAGTCATCTCTGCCAGAGAGGACTGGGTTTGTGGGCCGTGCCAATGCATGGTGCATTGAATGAATGCAACTGCACATGCAAAATACAGTGAAATATAAATTAACCACACAGATTGGGCTTGGACAACAAGCTAAATATAGCTTTTGAGCTCGTGGATAAGCGTATTGTGTGAATGCAGTCAGTCTTAATGTCTGCAAAGTAGGACCTTTTACTGGATGGTGGGAAGAATGGACTCGAAGCTGCAATTATATCTTAAGCGGGAACAGTCTAGAGAAGGAATAAAATAGGCTACAGCAGAGGCATAAAAAATACAGATTGGGACTCTTCAAAATCTTGTAGAAGTGGGCTGGGCTAGCACTGAAATGACGACAGCACAGGCACTGGATATCGCCTGGAAGGAATACATGAACCACAAAGTGCACTTTATTCTTCCTTGAGGCCATACTGCTAAGCCAGTGAATGGGGCAAGAAATGGTGCCAACCTGGCTTGTGTAACCATGATTTGTCAAAGGAGCCATATCTGGTTGGAACCGTAAAACAAAAGATTTAACTGTAAAACCTGATTTGTGAATGACACAAAGCCAAGCAGAACCATAACACGGCTTAGCACGAACCTAGTTCCTGTGGCTTGTGAACCATGGTTCATAACTTAGTCTTAGGCATGAGCTAGGCCATTACAGCTTGTTCACAACTCAGTTAAAGCAAACTGTAGCTTAGCACGATGGAGGAGCTCCACCAATCTGTTGGAACTAAATGCCCTGCAAAACATTTGCCTAGCCCCTGTTTTGAATGGCATTTCAAGGAAGCCAATGTGGATTAGTCCTCACGGTTTGTGGCTGCCATGGAACAGTATAAGAGTACAATTTATTATCAGATCTGGAGTACTTACTCTTGAATGGGCCAGTAGCTGAGCAGGGTTGTAAGAGACAGGTAGCAAACGCTCAGCACTCCGGAAACCACCAGTGACAGCATGCCCAGTCCTCCAAGAATGCACAGCAAAGTGACCCCACCCAGGGATATTACGAAACCTACCAAGAATGAGATGTAACTAGCTTCATGGCTTCTCTAGGAATCTATTTTTATTGCACTGTCAGCAAGTGGCAGCATAGGGCTGGTCTAGGAAAGCTAAGCAGTTAGGCCTGGTTAGTTCTTGGACGGGAGGCCCCTAAGAAATCTCAGGGTAGTAAACTAGACTGGGAGATTGCATAAAATCCTGTAAGGAGGCAGTGAGGAGCTACTTCTACACTGCTGCCAAGGAAACATGCCCACGGCCATTAAAGTTCAGGGAAGTTTAACTTTATGGACCGCCATTGTGTTTTCTTCAATGATGATCACACTCAGGGCTTCAAATTCCTTTCAAAAGCTACAGCTGTCCCTGGGGAGGTGTTTTCCAAAGACGTGAATACCTTCCATGACGATCACTCCGATGCAAGCCAGGACGGTTGTAGTGACGACAAAAACCAGAAAAAATGCAATTGGAATCGCTGAGGCTGCAATAAATACCAGCAAGGAGAGGGCAGCGAAAGGATGATCATCAAGGTACTGGCCAACTCTGGAGTTCATAAAAGCAACAACCTGGGATATACATGGAAAAAGGATGAAGTTTTTAAAGATCCTGGGAACTTATTCTGGAAAATCATTGAATTAAGAACTAGCCTAATTCGCTCTTTAAGTGTGATTCTGGCCACTGAACCTGTCTTGAATTTATGACAGAGAAACCCTGAAAAGAACATCAACATGAAATCATCCCGCCAAAATATCAAAGGACATACAATTATATTTATTTACTGGGCTAAAATTCATCTCAAATTGGTAGGAGATTCAACTGCCTCAGCAAAAAAAGGGCTTGTTTTGAGTAGAGATATAAACCAATATAAGGCTGCACTGTTAGTCACAGGCTGTCTGCACAACACACTAAGGTATGCTCATCTTAACCATGATGTATTGAAGGGCTTTGGTTAACCCAAAGCAGTGACCCACAAAGGCTGACTGACAAACCAGGCTCCAAGGTTTCCCAGAGGTTCACCTGCAAACAAACAAAGCAAGGCAAAAGATGCTGAGAGCTGAGGTCCCATGCTAAGGGCATCCACTGGAAGAGGTCAAAAAGTCAATATGGCAGCCATAACCATACAAGGATGCCCTGCCCCTTTCTTCTCTGTCCCACACAACAAAGGTGGAGGCTTTGATCATGTGGTTGTAGTTACCATCCTGCCCTTTGTGCCCTTTCCCCTCAGGATGCCCCACCCTTGTAAAGCTGTGCTCACACAAGCTAATTCATCCTTTAAACATAATTTGCTGCGTTCACCCAACTGGCTGATTTTGCACTACCATAAACCAACCATACTGGCTGGACTCCCACAAAAGAACTTGCTGAAGTTTAGCCTGGTTATTAAGCAAAAATGGCCTTGCATCAAGAAACATGGCAATTTTATTTATTTATTAATCACGTTTATATGGCTGCCCATCTCACAAAAGTGACTCTGGGTGGCATACAACAATCCAGTAAAACAATAAATATGGAAAGAATCATTATGTAAAACATTACATAGTAATTATTAAAAACATTAAAAATGATAAAAACAGAACTAAAACCCCAAAAAAAAAAAAAGGAAAATAATAGGCAAAGAGATGTTAATAACAGAGCCACCTCACTAGTTCACCTGTCCCCTGGGATCCCCAAGCCTGCTGACATAACCAGGTCTTGAGGGACCTTCGAAAATTCAGGAGTGATGAGGCCAATCTCATCGCTGATTGTGTCCTCATCTCCTTTCCATCCAGTTTTATTACACCTACTTTTAGTTCAGCTTGTATTTCCCTAAACAGAAGGAAAATGCCAGCTAAAGACACAAATCCATCCATAACTCACATGAGAGTTGCTATGTACTGTATCCATCACCACGTGCCACCGTTTCTGGAGTTCCTTCACCTCTTTAGACATGATGACGGTTTCAGCTTAGAAACAAATCAGTGCCTTTTCAACCCCTAAATCCTAGAAAGAGAGTGAGAAAAAGAGTATTTTGAATGTTGTGTTTATTCACATTTCTAAATGTAAAGCAAACTTAGCCCTATTGTTCCATAGAGGAAAAATCCATTCAAAATCATTGTTAGGTGATAATGCTTAGGATCAATTAGATACCCCCTAGAAGGTATAAAAGAGTCTCACAAACTGTTCTTTAGGCTGATGTTAAAAAAATCAGGGAGCACAGAAGGAATACAGGCCAAAAATACAGGTTTTTCAACCAATAAGGCAACTATCCTATTTATAATGTCCTGTGAGTTATCCCCATTAGAGTCAACAGGATTTATGTGTGAGTTTTCAGTTATATTTATCCTTAACTAATTGTACCAATGGTCAACTTTGGAATAAGCATTAAAAGCAGTGTGTGAAATGCAGCTGATTCAACCTTGCCTTGAGTTCATGTATTGGGCTAAACTGTAATGTGTTTCAGTAGAGCTTTGGAGGTTGTATGGACCTGGTTACTGTGGCTTGTAAATAAATCAAGGGTTTATGGCTCAGTGTGTTATATGATTGGGCCAAGTGTAGTATGTACAATAAACCACACTTTGGTGCCATGTGTGAATGAGATCACATTTCCTCTCTTTAATGGTCAAATTCAGTGTGTTGAAATTGATGTGTTTGGTTTCAGGGGGTCTAGGTGCTTCTCTGCAGTTTGTTTTTGGGGTTAGGGTCTCAAATTTTTCAGTGAAAGAGCTGACCAGAGAAACTCCCCCCCTTTGCTATCACAAAATCTGTATTTTTAGGTTTTTCTTTTTTTTAAACAGATACTTCATTTTTCTCTCTCCCGCACTGCAACAGGCAGATTCCACATCATTGCAGTTCCTAGTAGAACCTATGCAATTATGTATTAGCAAAAACTCAGGGCTGCCAGTTTACTGCAGCTTTACCATAATTGTTTCCACAGTACAGAATCTTCCTCTTGCTAAAGGAGGAAGGGGAAGAAAAACGAGGTGGGAGACGGAATGAATAAAGGTGCTTTGTAAAACACACCTGTGCATGAGATGCTGAAGGAATTGCCCCAAGATCTTTGCTATCCAGAAACAAATACAATATCCAAACAGCCCAATCTCATGGGGCAGTAAATGGCCCTGTTGAATGTCTGCCTGTGTGCCTTCAATAACTCCCCAGCTGCGAGATTGCATCTGAAAGTGCATGGCAGGTCTTCAAAATCTGGCAAACATGGGGCACAGAAGGAGCAGGGGCACTGTCTTGTTGAACCTCTGCCTGGCCCTCCAACCTGAGCAGGGCCTGAACGGCAATATGACGAAAAGCACTGCCCTGTTGAACCTCTGCTTCACCCTCCAGCCTGAGCAGGGCCTGAGGAGCAGTGGGGGAAAAGTGCTGTCCCGTTGAACCTCTACCTGACCCTCCAGCCTGAGCAGGGCCCCTGGGAAAGAGGCTGCCCTGTTGAACGTCGGCCCGTCTCCTCAGCCCGAGCAGGGTCTGGGGCAGTGGGGGAAGAGGCGCTGCCCGGTCGGACCTCTGCCTGCAGGCGGGCGGCTCGGCCTCCGCGGCCGCCGCCGCCTCTTCCTCCTCCCCGGAGGGAAAACGAAGCGGGCCGGGCCTGGGCCTGCCTCCCCGCTCCCTCCTCGCTCGCCC